CCCCGCCCCCCGCAAAGGCCATGTGTCCCCCCCTCCCCGCATAGCCCGCCCTCCCCCCAGCTGTGCCCGAGGCGCCCAGAGACCCCAGGCCGCTCAGACCCCAGCAGCTCTCCTTCCCTGTGTCTCATTCCCCCCAAACCTCTCTTCCTGATCTAAACTGGACAACACCGAAAAGAAACAAGAGCCCCCAAGCCTGTCTCCCGCAGAGGGGCCAACTCCAGTGCCAGCCTCACTGTGGACGAGGGAAGCCCGCCAGCCATTTGTCTCCCCAGGTGCTGAGAAAAGGCCTCTGGGTGGGAGGGAGGCATCCGGTGGCCTCTGGGGTAAGGTCTCGCCTTTGCCATTAAAAATGTCCTCACACTCTCCCAGGACCGCCTACATCTGTAAGTGAGTAAATAGAGTTGTCGCGTTCATTTCTTATTATTCAGGGCTCACCGTGGCCGCGTGCGCCGTGTACTAGTTCTCTGTGCTCTGATTAGTGGCTTGAAACTCTGAGGAGTGAGAAAGAGCGTGTCTACAGAACGTTCAGATGGTGCTTGGTAGAAGTGTCTAGAAGCTGGCTCGTGGCTGTTTTTGTTTTTTTGTTTTGTTTTTTCCTTCCAGTCTCACTGCTGGGTTCGTCCAGCATGTCCCCTGGGCTGGGGCACCTCTGTCCAGCGTGTCCCCTGGGCTCGGGCACCTCTGCCCAGCGTGTCCCCTGGGCTCGGGCACCTCTGTCCAGCGTGTCCCCTGGGCTCGGGCACCTCTGTCCAGCGTGTCCCCTGGGCTCGGGCACCTCTGTCCAGCGTGTCCCTCGGGCTCTGTGATGAAATCCCCAGGACTCCCTAAACACCATCCTTGGAAACTGCCTTCATTTGTCTGTCCAACAAATCCGTAGCAAATCGAGAGTCTCAATTCACTCCCTCCACTTAAATGATCCCAGACACAGTGCTTCAACTCCACTGTGAAGACGCTGGAAAACTGCAGACATTTCCAGTTCTCACCATCAAAAACTAACCGGGATAGAGATAGATAGATAGATAGATACATACATACATACATGCATGCATACATACATACATAGATGCATAGATAGATACATAGATATATGCATAGGATGTTGATAATAGATAGATACATAGATTGAGAATAGATGACATAGTATATGTGTATATATACACAAAGATAATAGGATGACGATGGTGATGATGATGATGATGGATAAGATAGAGATCTAGCTAGGATGATTGATGGATTGATTGATTGGCTCCGACCAGCAACATTAAGAGAAAAAAGACCTATGCCAAGGTACCAATTGTTATAATTAATTAGGATAATATGAACTATGCGATCTGTTGGTTGAATAATCCCAGCACTTTTCTGTACACATTTCTTGTATGTTTCTGCTTGCTAAGCTTGCTCTATTTTGGACAAATAGTAGCAACTAAGGAAGGTCAGGACATCACCTTCTGCACGAACATATGGGGAGCCGAGCTTGAGGCCTCAGCCTCTCCTCAGAGAAGCAGGGTCCAAGTGGCTGGCTCGCTCAAGCCCATCACACTCGTTCGCTAGGCTGCGCCAGGTGAACGCACACAGCTTGCTCCCGGGTTTCCCAGAGCCCCGCTCTGCAGCTTGGGTCCCGCTGCCGGGGTAAGGACATGGGGTGGTGTCGTGGGAGTAGAAGGGGCTCCCCTGGGAACCCGGGGTCTGCGGGGCAGCTGGTTCCCTTCCCCTGGGGGCTTCCTTTTGGGTCTGTCTGATGGAATCTGCATCTCCTCTTGTCCCCGCAGGAGCAGCACCCCGTGGGGCTCCCCCGGCCCACAGGTCCCATGCAGCCTTCTGGGCCCCCGGGCTCCAGTGGCATGGTCTCCGGAGGCAGCCCTGTGGGGCCTGGCTTCTTGGGGAGCCAGCCACAGGCTGCCATCATGAAGCAGATGTTGATGGACCAGCGGGCTCAGCTGATGGAGCAACAGAAGCAACAGTTTCTGCGGGAGCAGCGGCAGCAGCAACAGCAGCAGCAGCAACAGCAGATTCTGGCCGAGCAGGTAACAAGCCCAGGGTAGGCAGCCGGGCAGCGGGCACCTGCTGTGGTCCAGGGTTTGCCGCCCATGCACCCCACACACACACACACCACGTCAAGATGCTCACGGACCGGCATTTCATAGCATTATGGAGAACACGCAGAATTCAGACCTTTTCGCCTTGTTAGGCCTTTTCCTGTAACGAATTAGTTTGTTCTTCAAAGACAAGCTCCAACCACCCATTCAAGGGCTGTGGGCAGAGTGAATTCTTTGATTCCTGCCTGGCTCCTTGCTTCTGACTTCTCTTCTGGGTCTGCGTCCTCGGCGCACGCTGGGCGCGGCTTCACGCTCTTTATAAGCCGGAATGTTTATTTCTGACATAAAGCAAATAATAGAAATTCAGAGAACTTTGTTTCCTGGAGGAGACCGTCAGAAAGGGCTGTGGAGACGTCTGCGGGATTGGTTATGGAGAATGAATGAGGAAAGATAACGGAACAATAAGGCCCGGAGAACGGCGAGGGAGCCTGACCTGGGGGTCATGGGGCGGGAACACATTGAAGAAAATTCCTAACAGCTTCTAAAGCCACTCAGGGGATCTGTGAGCTAAAGGAAGGCCTGAACCTTCAGCACATCGTCCAGCCCAGCCCTGCAATTCCCCCAGCTTAGACAGAACGCCCTTGCTGCACTGCCTCCCCAGGTGTGGCTTTGTTTTGTTTTTAGAGATGCTAGCATCTGATTTAGTATTATCCCAAAGAGAAGCCTGAGGCTGTCCACGAGATCCCAGATGACCCCTGTGGGGTCTACACAGGCCAGCTTGCAGGGAAAGCGCTTTACAGCTGTGGAGGGTGTCAGGGCATGAGGCTGTCACACAAGGCTCAAAGCCCAGTATAGCTCTGACTCCTAGTGGTTCCTTCTAGAATGTTCCAGATAGGATCTGCACTTCGGAGATTCACCAGGCATCCACCATCACCTATAGAAGTGTAGAGAGGGGCACGCTGGGGTCCCCTGGAATCAAGAAGGGCAGCTCAGAAAAACGCCAGCCCTCCCCACCCAAAGAGAGAAATGGCCCGGTGGAGCATGGTTTACATTTGTTCCCTGCTTCTGCTTTTTTCCTTTTTTTTTTTTTTCCTGAACAGCTGTGTAATTATCTCCCTTTCTCCAGAGGCCAGAGAGCGCCTGGCAGCCATTGTACAAACAGGCCTCTCTCCCACACCTGCAGCAGGTGTGCGCGCCCAGGAGCCAGCTCATCTCCCTTGGGCAGCCATGGTTGGGGCTTCAGAGGGAAGCCAGGCTTTGTAAATCCTCTCCAAGGCCCAACCCAGACGGGTCCGGCAGGCGTGCCCGGTGCCTGACTGATGGTGAGTCAGAGCGCAGAGAGGTGTGGGGTGACCTGACGCAACTCACCAGGGTGTCCCCGCCTGGCCAGCAAAGCCCTGGAGCCAGGACAGAGGTGGAAAACCCAGAGGATTCAGAGAGATGCTTCCAAACGAGGCCCACCGAGCAAGGGGAGAATGAGGGACGGGCTGGAGATGCAGAGCGTGTAGACGGGGTGTGGAAAAGACAGAGGAAGAGGGTGCAACGCCCTGAGGATGGTTCCACACACCTGCCTCCTCCCCGGAGGGCCCTGAGTCAGAATCTACACCTCCCTTGGCTTGTGATTTGGGGGGAAATAAATTTCCTTAGCCTCCCTCTCTACCCAGCAAGTTAGATCAGAGGAGTTTCCCCCACGTGGCAGTTGAAAGGTCACATGAGTTCACGTGTGCAGAATTCTTGGGAACCCGTCTGCTCTGCAGGCTCTGGGTACCAGTGCTAGAACCCGGGGCTCAGGAAGGCCCTGCAAGAGCCCCAGGCCCAAGCCAGGTGCCCGTGGCTCACACCTGTCATCCTAGCTGAGATCTGAGGATCGCAGTTCAAAGCCAGCCCAGGCAGGAAAGTCTGTGAGACTCTTATCTCCAATAAACTACCAGAAAAACTGGAAGTGGTTCTGTGACTCAAGTGGTAGAGCACTCACCTTGAGCTGAAGAGCTGAGGGACAGCGCCCAGGCCCAGAGTTCAAACCCGAAGACAGACCAAAAAAAAAAGAGCCCTAGCCGGTGTCAGCACGTCAGTGCAGCGCTTCACCCGGGCCTGCACACAGTGCTTCATTACTCCTTCCTGTTTGTTTTGCACTAGGGCTGGGTTTGAACTCAAGGCATAAATGCTGCCCTTTAGCTTCTCCACTCAAGGCTAGTGGTGTATCTCCTGCGCCACAGCTCCACCTCCAGCTTGTTAATGGTCCATTTGAGAGAAGAGGCTTATGGACTTTTCCCGCACTGACTGGCTTCAAACCATGATCCTCAGATCTCAGCCTCCTGAGAAGCTAGGATTACAGGCTCCCTGCTTAATTAAAAAGAGTGTTTACTAACATGGGCCAACTCCAAGTTGCAAGCTCTCAACTTTGATTTTTTTTTTTTTGTCAGCACTAAGACTCAAACCCAGCATGTCTCACACGCTAGGCAAGTGCTGCACCAGGGCCTGAGCTACGTCCAAGTACTGATATCACATCAACATCGTGCTGATTTGCTGTTATCAAAATGGTTCTAGGGCTTTCAGTTTTAGAAACAGTGTATTGGAGACACTTGTATGACCTCAGAGCACTTGGGAGGGAAAGCGGAAGGATGTGGGATCCTGCAGATCTTTGGGAACATTAACCAGATTCCCAGTTGATCTGGTGGTCAGAGGGACGTGGGACAAGGTGTGAGTTAACATTGAAGCCTGGCACATGTCACCTCTCATTCACTGCCAGACATTCTTTAGAGAGAACTTCAGATCCCTTAGGAGATATTCAAAGCTGGACACCGGTTAGCTCATGCCTGAAATCCTCCCTACTCAGAGGCTGAGAGCTGAGGATCATGGTTCAAAGCCAGCCTGGGCAGGAAAGTCCGTAAGACTCATAGTTCCAGTTAACCACCAAAAAGCCAGAAGTAGAGCTTTGGGCCAGTGGTAGAATGCTAGTCTTGAGCAAAACAGCTCAGGGGCAGTGCCCAGGCCCGAGTTCAAGTCTAGGCACACACACACATGCACATCAAAAAATATTCAATATCATGAAATCCTATTAGTTTACAAATGAGGAAACTGAGTCCAGTACTGCTATGATTATGTGAGAAAAACCAAGCCAGGAAGTAGAGACTCCAGCTCTATCCGGGCTGCCATGGGCTGTTCCTCCTACATGTGCTATGGTCCGTTCTTGTATTCTAGAGGAAGTTTGGCTGAGAAGCATGCAGACACTCAGCTTCCTTTCCGTGATGCCTTCACATCACTGCCTAAACTTCAGTGGTCAACCCATTCCTTCACTTCAACAGTGTCCTACAGAACCAGTTAGTAGAAACATAGGCCGGGCTCAACAGAGTACAAGTTATTTATTTGTTTGTTTGTTTTCCTGTTGCTGCCATAATTCTGGCTGGCCTTAGAAAGAATAAGAAGAAAAAAGAAAATTCTAAAGTTGCCAAGGAAGAGATGAAAGAGAGAGAGAGAGAGGAAGACAGCAAGAGAGGAAGAAGAAGTAAACCCATGTGAAGAAGCAGTCATTACTTTCATAATGAGCAGTCCAAAGATCAGGGACCTTGTTGCATGTTCTCTGTGTGTCTGGCAGATAAAAGGTTCTTAATGAATATTCAGCAGTTTCAAGGCGGCTTAGCTGCATCCAAAGGTCACACAGCTACTTGATAGCACACCTAGAGCTGAACCCTCTTCTCCACCCTTTCCCTGCTTTTGGTTCTTTACCTCCGCATCTGCATTACCGGGATGACCGTAATCACTCGCCCAGGGCCAGCAGCATGCTCACCGCTCACAATCTGAACAAAAGAAGAAAAGTGACAACAAAGGCTCCCACCTGGCCGCCTCAAAGCAGTAAATGCTGAATATTTTACTTGTGGAGATGTAGTTTACAGGCAGTGGGGTTTCATGGCGATATGATTGGCCTTGTCCTATCTCCTGAGAAGCCCATCTTTGTAGGCCCAAAGTATCTGTTTAGGTCATTAAGAAGTAGCTGTTTAGCCAGGTGCCTGTGGCTCACACCTGTTATCTAGCAACTCTGGAGGCTGTGATCTGAAGATTAGGATTTGAAGCCAGTGCAGGTAGGAAAGTCTGTGAGATTCTTATCTCCAGTTAACCAGCAAAAAGCTGGAAGTGGAGGTATGGGTCAAATGGTTGCATACCATTCTTGAGTGAAAGTAAAGTGAAAGTGCTAGCAGCTAGGCCCGAGTTCAAGACCCAGTAAGTCAATAAATAAGTAAAAAGAGAGTTCCTTGTCCCTTTAAGCCAGTTCCCCCAGGGCCCACAGGCTGACAAAATGCCACCCTCCGTGGGCATTGTGTTTGAACCAGCAAGTCCCGCACCAGTGTCACCAACAGGCGTGGGCAGGCATGCGCATAGCAGTTGCTTGTAACGTAAACAATCAGAAGCAAGCCAGGGCTGTGGCTCACACCTGTCATCCCAGCTAGTCAGGAGGCTGAAAGCTGAGGATTGCAGCTCAAAGCCAGCCTGGGCAGGAAAGGCCGTGAGGATCTCCACCAGAAAATCAGAAGTGGCGCTGTGGCTCAAAGTGGTAGAGCAAAAATGCTCAGCCAGTGCCCAGTCCCAGAGTCCAAGTCCCACTTCCGACCAAAGAAAAAAAGAAGGCCCCCCTAAATGGATGACACATGTTCGTCCAGTGGGACATTGGTGAGCACAATGAACAGGGTCCACGCCTCCGTGGGTCGAGATCACACACAGCCATCCGGGTGGGAAGCTGGGCGGGTGGCTGTGCCCAGCTCCCTGCCAGAGGCACAGGAGCGGACTGAACTGGTCTGTGAGGTTCAGAGCTCAAGTGAGGTGCCTCAGCCAGGGGCCATGGAGGACGGGGTTTGGGGCTCCTGAACTCGGGGGGCTGGGCAGGGGCAGGGTCTGCTCTGTGAGCGCCCATCTACCTCTATACTTAAACCCTCTGCGCTCGCCTGCAGGGGTGCAGACCATCCTCGCAAAGCTTCGTGTGGGAAGCAAGCCCGAGCCCCTGCGGACCATGGGTGTTGCATTGCGTGGCTCTCCCTGCTCAGCCCTGTCCGTCCCCCCACTACCCCCTGACCCCTGCCCTCTGTCTCAGCCCTGTACGTCCCCCGCTGCCCCTGTCTCAGCCCTGTCCGCCCCCCCCCCGCTGCTCCCCGACCTCCGTCCTCTGTCTCAGCCCTGTCCGTCCCCCCCCCGCTGCCCTGACCTCCACCCTCTGTCTAGCCCTGTCCGTGCCCCCCGCTGCTCCCCGACCTCTGCCCTCTGTCTAGCCCTGTCCATCCCCCGCTGCCCCCTGACCTCCACCCTCTGTCTAGCCCTGTCCACCCCCCGCTGCCCTGACCTCCACCCTCTGTCTAGCCCTGTCTACCCCCCCCCGCTGCCCTGACCTCCACCCTCTGTCTAGCCCTGTCCATCCCCCGCTGCCCCCTGACCTCCACCCTCTGTCTAGCCCTGTCTACCCCCCGCTGCCCTGACCTCCACCCTCTGTCTAGCCCTGTCTACCCCCCCCGCTGCCCTGACCTCCACCCTCTGTCTAGCCCTGTCCATCCCCCGCTGCCCCTTGACCTCCGCCCTGACCTCCACCCTCTGTCTAGCCCTGTCCATCCCCCGCTGCCCCTTGACCTCCACCCTCTGTCTAGCCCTGTCCATCCCCCGCTGCCCCTTGACCTCCGCCCTCTGTCTAGCCCTGTCTGTCCCCCGCTGCCCCTTGACCTCCGCCCTCTGTCTAGCCCTGTCTGTCCCCCCGCTGCCCTGACCTCCGCCCTCTGTCTCAGCCCTGTCCACCCTCCCCCCGCTGCCCTGACCTCCGCCCTCTGTCTAGCCCTGTCTGTCCCCCCGCTGCCCTGACCTCCGCCCTCTGTCTAGCCCTGTCCGTCCCCCGCTGCCCTGACCTCCGCCCTCTGTCTTGCAGCAGCTGCAGCAGGCGCATCTCCCCCGGCCGCACGTCCAGCAGCAGCGGAGCCCGTACCCCGGGCAGCAGGTCAGCCAGTTTCAAGGTGAGAGCTGCCCGCCTCCCCGAGAGCAGCGCGTGAGTTGGTCGTCCGTGCCCTGACTCCCACACCCCACAGCTGGCGCTCAGCCCATCAGGATCACAGGCCGAGGACCAGCCCAGTGCCTCTCTGACCTTTGACCCAAGGACTTGCATTTCTACCACACTCTCAGGAGCTGTGGGTCCTGCTGGCTAAAATGACTGCTGGATAGTATGAGCCAATTAAAACTATAAAATCCGCTAACGTCACCAGTGTCCCCTCAGTTGTGTAGGTTCACAGCCATTTATTGTATCTTACAATAAAAAAAAAAAACCCATAGCCAGGCACCAGTGGCTCACACCTGTAATCCTAGCTACTCAGGAGGCTGAGATCTGAGGATCGCAGTTCAAAGCCAGCCTGGACAGGAAAGTCCGTAAGACTCTTCTCTCCAATAAACCACTAGAAAACTGGAAGTGGCGCTGTGGCTCAAGTGGTAGAGCACTCGCCTTGAGCTGAAGAGCTGAGGGACAGCGCCCAGGCCAGAGTTCAAGCCCCACGACAGACCAAAAAAAAAAAGAAAAAGAAAAAATAAACCCACTAAGTTTTTGATATTCCTTTGTATTACAAGACACAGACATTGTACGTATACAAACAGTTCTAGATTCTTTAGATCCGGTTTTAAAAGTTTTACTTCTGGAACTTCTCTGACGCTCAAAACCACTGGTAAGAAATCAGTCTAGAAACTTGAGCAAAGAGCCAGGGTCCCTGAGCAGATTTGGGCGGAACACGGTTTTCTTAAATGTGCTCACGTGGTATTTCCACTTGCTTTACGGACAGCCTGGATGGCATGAGGGCACGCATCTAGGCAGACGGCAGACTGACGGGTAATGCTGTCCTCAGAGAGCGCTGTGAGCACCCCTCCGCCCCGCGCCCGCCTCCCATCGCAGGTCTCCCTGACCCACTTCGCTGCACGCTGAGCGCCGCACCGCTCCGCACCGGCAGTCACATGCCCCTGAGGAAGCTCCTGGTCCATGAATAGAGGCTTCCCAGGCCCAGAAACAGGGCAGAGGCTCGGGGGGGGGGGGGGAGAATTGCACGGTATCATCTTTATTTGAATATGGAAGGTTTTCTTTGACGTGGTGGTGTTAACCAGCAGACAAGAAAATTAATGTGACTGCGGCGTCTCATGATAAGAGCTGTTTTAGACAGAAAAGAGAAGTCTGTTTAACGTATGCTGTAATCGGGTGGAGACAATTTGATTCCCTGATTGCATTTGGATTTTGTTTCCTTTGTATATTTAAAATCTAAGCTAATGAAAGGCTTTTTGTTTCACTTTGGTTGAAAATGTTGTGCTGAGGGTTGATTTTTTTTCAAATGTTTTTTAAAATAATCATTCCATCTAACCGGAAGCCGTGGCTTAAGCCTACAATCCCATCCACTCAGAAGGAGCCTGACTCAAGGCCAGCCAAGGAAAAAGTTCACGAGACCCCATTTTGACCAGTAAGACTGGATGTGGCAACACAAGCCTGTAATCCTAGCTACTCAGAAGGCTGAGATCTGAGGATCATGGTTCAAATCCAGCTGGCAGGACTCTTATCTCCAGTAAACCACTCAGAAAACTGGAAGTGCCACTGTGGCTTAAATGGTAGAGCACTAGCCTTGAGCTGAAGAGCTGAGGGACAGCACCCAGGCCCAGAGTTCAAGCCCCACGACCGACAAAAAAAAAAAAGAAAAAGAAAAGAAATGAGAAGGAAAGAAGGAAGGGAAGGAAGGAAGGAAGGAGAAGCAGGAAGGGAAGGAGAAAGGAGAGAGGGAAAAGAATTACACCTCGGTAGTGCAGACATTTATAGTACATAAACATCATGGCGGGCTCTGTTAAAGGGTTCTGCAGCATTCCTCTAGAGAAAGGAACCTATTTCTCAACTGCAAAATTAATCCAGACAATATCCATTCCTTCAACATAGCCAAATGAGTATGCAACAAAAAATGTCCAAACCACCAACATCCTTCCATCGCTTTCCGGCCGTCCATCCTCCTGTGTATATAATTTGGGTCTTTCTGTCCACTCAATCCAAGTCAGCAATAGTTTCCCTTAAGTTTTTCCATAAGCAACAATAGCTTACTTCACTCCAGCTGATGCATCCGGCGACACCATCAATAGCTAAGGTCACAAAACTTCCTAACAAGATTGCAAGTTTCAGGATATACGACTGTCCAAAACCTTTGCATTTTCAAAATAAAAATCACTTGTCTAAAATCAAGCTTGAAGCAAGAAAGTGAAATATTTCTGAGGATTTAGTTGAAATCTTCCAGGTTTCCCTGCCATAACCATGTGATTTTTCAATACAACATGATATTGATCCTAACCCACAAAAACTTAAGTCATAATCAAAATTCCCATAATTTTCTTTCTCAAAGAAAGGAAGAAAATATGGAGACATATTTGCTGCCCAGAAATCAATAACCCCATCAGAAAGACACACACATACACACACACACACACACACACACACACACAAGTTCAGTTATCTAACAATATGCCAGCTTTAACAAGGTTATACTGTTCTCTTCTGGTGGCTCAAGTGCACCCAAATTTGCTTATCATATTGATTCGCTCCCATACTGCATCTTATTTAAATGTCCAGGGGAGAAAACTATTCTTCTTTTTCTCGTAGACTTACTCGTTAACCGGGATATAAAGAATCTATTTTGTGCCCCTCTATTCCTTTACAACACAGACTGGGTGTGCTGTGGGCGACACTTTGTTCTGGTTCCCATGTACTGTATCCCAGGAACCTGTGAACAAGGTCTCACTAAGCTCCTTCATGGAAGTTGAAGGACTTCATTTGGATCCTCTGGCCAACTTTGCAGCAACAGCATTCAAAGCGTCTTAGCCACACACAGAGAGAAGGAGGTAGTAGCATCGCTGACTTGAGAGGGTGGATTTGGCTATGGAAAGGCAGGAAGTTCATTGCCAAACAGCCTGAGGCGGGACGATTTCCTGTGCTAGCTGCAGAACCGCTGTGCCTCCCTGGTGTTAGAATTAGGGGGGTCTGGAGCCCATGAGATCCACAAGGTGGATCGGAAAGTGTCCCATTTGTCCAAACAGCTTCTCAGCAAGAAAGTGGCCTTTAACCCCTCAAATCCTGCTCAAGTCTTGAGGGGAGTTGTTTTCATTGGTAGTGTTCTCCACTTGGAGATACTCCAACTGGGAGATGCAGAGTGAGGTGATGTTTCTTCTCCATTCAGCCCAAAAGGTGAATGCTCCCTCCTCTCTAGAAGACTAGGAATCCAGTTGAGCGGATGGTATCATCTCCAAAAGAGAAATCATTTGCTTCTGAAGTGTGGGCACAAATGTCAGGGTTTTGTGAGGTAGAAAAGTGCACTACCAGCCTGACACTGGTAGCTCACATCTGTAATCCTAACTATTCGGGAGGCGGGGCTCTGAGGATCACGTGTGAAGCCAGCCTGGGCAAAGAAGTCCAGGAGACCCCTGTCTCTGATTAACCACCAAAAAATGCAGAAGTGGAGCTCTGACAAAAGCAGTAGAGTGCCAGTGTTGAGCATACCTGCTAAGGGACCGAGCCTCAGCCCTGAGTTTACGCCCTGTTACAGGAGCACGCCAAAATGTAAGCTACAAAAAGCTCCTGCAGTATTATGTGCCTGAGTTTGTGTGTCTAAAAGATTGTCCGTGTTTCAGAACTAGATGGTGAGAATCTGGGTGACTTTCACATTTGCCTTTGAGTTTAATGCTTTCCAAATTGTATATACTCACCTCATAGATATGCATGCGTGTATACACGTGTATATGCATTACACACACGCATATGTATTATCACAGGATGGATAGATAGATGGATAGATGATAGATGGATAGATAGATAGATAGATAGATAGATAGATAGATAGATAGATAGATAGATAGATAGATAGATAGATAGATAGAGATTGCTTGATTTACTTGGGAATTTCGCCATCCCAGGGATGCTGGGCACTGTGTGCCAGCGTGCTGCTGATGGAGACTTGTGAGTGACGCGTGCTTTCTCCCCTCAGGCTCCCCCCAGGACATGGCTGCGGCAAGAAGCCAGGCGGCCCTGCAGAGCCTGCGGACATCCCGGATGATGGCCCAGAACACGGGCATGATGGGTATGGGGCCCTCCCAGAACCCAGGGACGATGGCCACCGCCGCAGCCCAGTCGGAGATGGGACTGGCCCCTTACAGCGCCCCTCCGACCAGCCAGCCAGGGATGTACACCATGAGCACAGGGATGACCCAAATGTTGCAGCACCCAAACCAAAGTGGCATGAGCATCCCCCACAGCCAGGCCCAGGGACCACGGCAGCCTGCCTCGGGCCAAGGGGTAGGGATGGTGAGCGGCTTTGGGCAGAGCATGCTGGTCAGTGCCCAGCACCCGCCGATGAAAGGCCCAGGGGGCCAGGCCTTGCCCAGGACCCAGGGCCCCTCCAGGCTGCAGTCCGTCATGGGGGCCGTCCAACAAGGAGCACAAACCTGGCAGCAGAGGAGCCTGCAGGGGCTGCCCGGGAGGACTAGTGGAGAACTGGCACCCTTCAACAATGGAACCAGCTACCCGCTTCAGGCCGCCCAGCCCAGACTCACCAAGCAACACTTTCCGCAGGGCCTGAGCCAGTCGGTCATGGACACTAACCCTGCCGCGGTGAGGACCCTCAACCCGGCCGCCATGGGTCGGCAGATGATGCCGCCGCTCCCTGGGCAGCAGGGTGCCAGCCAGGCACGGCCAATGGTCATGCCCGGCCTGAGCCAAGCAGTCCCTGGCATGCCGGCCTTCAACCAGCCCTCAGCACAGCAGCAGATACCCGGTGGCAGCTACGCCGCAAGCAGCCAGAGCCAAGCCTATGAGCGCCCCCCTCAGGACATGTCGTACAATTACAGCGGCGAAGGGGCTGGGCCTTCCTTTGCTGGCCTCCCGGACAGTGCTGACCTCGTGGACTCCATCATCAAAGGCGGGCCGGGGGATGAGTGGATGCAAGAACTCGATGAGTTGTTTGGGAACCCCTAGTCCCGTGGGGTCCGGAGAGCCACACGTGGAATGGTGAAAGTGTCACAGATAAAAGAAACAGGATGCCAGTCCATCCTGGGTTGGCTTTTTTTTTTTCAATTGTTGTTTTTTGACCCACGTACACGAAGCAGAACTGCAGCTGGCTGGTGGTAGAAAATCCAGATGTGAGTCCCTGGCTCCACAGGGCCTCCCTCCTTCCAACTGATTTTCACACCGCAATCACGTCGAGACGGCATGCAGAGAGAGAGCGCCAGCAAGCGAGCGGGAAAGACCAGCAGCCTGGTCCTCGGCCCTGCCCGGCTGTCACGGCCTGGCTCAGCCAGGGCTGCCCCTGCCCAGAGGGCTACGGCCTGGGGCGAAGTCCCCGCTGCCCACCAGCTCCGGGTCCTGAGACCACAGCTTTGGAGAAGAGAGCGAGCCGGGGCCAAAGGATGCCTCGGGAGGCTGCAAGAAGACTGCGCGGGCCACAGGCACAGGTCAGGCACGGAGCGCAGCCAGCAGGCCCGGGGGATCGCTGTGGAGCTTGCATTGTGTGCTGCGGCGACCCTCTGGAATTACACGGAGTTGCTGCTGCTCCGTTCTGCCCTCCTGGGGAGCAGCCCTAGCCTCACCCCGGTTTGGGTTGGAGCTTCCTTGGGTGCAGCCCGGCGGAGGGACCCTGCCCGGTTCTGTGTGTGCCATCTGGCAACCTTCCACTCGCCCCCGGCCCTACCTCTGTTCCTCCTGACCTCCAGCCCACCTTTGCGTCTCCTGATGGACTAGCCATGAAATGAGGCTTCGGGGCCAGAGTCAAGATAAAGGAAGAAGGATGCAGGCCATGCCCGAAACACAGAGGCAACGCTGGAGTTCGCTTTCCTCGCCACGTGGAGCGTGGAACGAGCGTCTGCTTGGATCGGAGTGGGCTGAGCTGATCGCAGGTGCCGGTGTATGTGACCACATCCAAGGCCTCCAGCATCTATCCCTGGGGAGGAATGGCCTGGAAACCACTGGCTGGCTCTGGTTCCCCGGGAGAGGATCCCAGAGGGGACTCTAAAACCGGCCTTGTTTGTCATCCAGAAAGTCAGATACCAAACCCTTGAGAGAGAGAGAGAGAGAGAGAAAGAGGCAGAAAATGCAATAGCTCTACCTTACGAAGGTGGGTGATCAATGAAATGGATACGCTTCTTTCTTTACAGGCCGAGTGATCAGGTCGGTCATTCTCTGTAAGTCAGCCTGTCTACCCTACGGAAAACCCACCCAAAGGGATTGCGGGCCTGCGCTGTCAGGCTCGTCTCTTGGTCTCTGCCCCCCAGGGCCTCCCATTTTGGAGGCCAAGTGACACAAGTATTGTCTATGCTGGGTACCTCCCCTCTCCCCATGCTTATAGCTGGGCTCCTGTGCACTGCACACACCCATCCTAGAAGGCCAGAGCTGGGGAGGGCTGGGCAGCAGGACAGGGAAGGTAAGCTCCACCCAGAAGCCAGGGTAGAGGCTGTGAAGGGGGGGCAGGCAGCGTGACCCCCGGCTTCCTCTCCATAGGCCAAGGGTCCGAGACCTGCTCAGCACAGGGCCGGAAAGTGGGCTGTACAGCCTCTCCAAAGAGGCTGGCGGGGGAGGCGTGAACTCTCAAGAGGAGAGAGCTACCAAGGAAACTGAGTAAAAGCAGATGAAAACCAAAAAATAACGATAATAAGTAATAATAAAGTAGACAAATGAGAAGACACAGAATACATAATTGCCTTTTCCTGCTAGGCAGATCCAGGAAATAAATACATAAGCAATGATGAGAAACTAGAGGTAGCTGCTGGACAGAAGGGAGGCTCCGTTGTCTCTCAAACAGCTTCCTCCAAGTGCTCAGCAAGAGGACCAACTACTAGAGAGGCAGATGTTAATAAAGTTGTTCTGTTTCTACTACGGTGCTGATGTATATGTAATGTCTTTAAAAAAGTTATTTGTACATAAGTTTTTACAATACTGCAGATATCACTGGGTCTACTATCTGTAAATATATATACATATAAATATAAATATAAATATAAATATATATATACTGTTTGTTTAAAATAGAGTATTTTTATTTCATTCCTTAATTCGTCATCATGGCAGTGGGACAGCACTTCAGACATCTAATTTGTACTGTAGAATGTACGGCAACCCAATCCGTTTGATTCCCATTTTTCTAGTTTTCTGTTTTTACTTTGTACACTGAGCATTGCTATCTCCTTTTAAGAAATGTGCAGAACTCTGAAATGTAGAAATGATGTCTACATACCACTTTTAAAGAAAAAAAACCCACAAAATAAATGATCATTATCTAAATCAATCCAAAGACTCATTCATTTCAGGGTGCTCGCTGATCGCCAGCATTACTTAGATGTACTCTTCCCGGGTCTCAACTGATTCATGCCATTCCTTTATCAAAAGTTGGATGGTATTATTTTATTTTAAACATTTATTTAACAGTCACAAACAGTTGTTTTTTGTTCGTTTCTAGCTGTACTTGGGTTTGAACCAGGGCCTCACACTCGCTAGGCCAGCTCTTTAAGCATTGGAGCCATGCCTCTGACCCTCCTTGTCTTGGTTATTGTTCTGAAATAGGGTCTCACTTTACGTCCAGGCCAGCCTGGACTGCAGTCCTCCTGTTGGTGCTTCTGCATACTGCTGGGATAAGCACACACTACCACTCCCAGCCATTGATCGAAATGGAGACTTACAAAGGTCCCTGGATTTGGGCTGGGAAGGTGGCTCAGTGGTAGAGCGCTTGCATTGCATGCATGAGGCCCTGGGTTCAATTCCTCAGCACCACATAAGCAGAGGGGAAAAAAAGCCGGAAGTGGCGCTCTGGCCACTCTGGTAGAGTGCTAACCTTGAGCTGAAGAGCTGAGGGACAGCGCCCAGGCCCAGAGTTCAGGCACCACTTCCGGTTTTCTGATTGTGCATTGGAGATAGCCAGCCTAGGCTGGCTTTGAACCGTGATCCTCAGATCTCAGCCTCCCGAGTAGCTAGGATTACAGGTGTGAGCCATAGGCGCCTGGCTTCCTAGGCCTTTCTAATTCAACTACACAACTGGAACTTTCTACAGAATAGAGTACACTGAGGGATGGGGCAGGGAGCGGGGCGGAGGGAGCAGTCTGCTTCTCAAGGGTCCTCTGAGGTCCATGTATTGATCTAGTCCTCCGGCCATTCAATTTCCAACTGGCTCCTTCAGAAGACTCAGAAAACGGGTTGCCAGAATTTAATGCTAGAAAATGGAAATACAAATCAAGGAACATTAGGAAGAGAGTAACATACACTCTCAGTAAGAGTCCATCTCATGTCTCCCAGCCTACACTGCCTCTGGCGATGCAGACCCCGCCCGGCGTTGCCTGCGTCCACTGCTCCAGCTGAGATCCATGGCCTTCTACCCAGTCACTCACTGTTGCACAAGTGAGAGGCTGAGGCTGATACAGGATGATGCTCCGAGCTCCCCACCGCATTGGGCAGAGACCAGAACGTGACTTAATGTCACGCGTTGGCTTCTTCCCCTTCTCTACCTGTGGCCCCAGACCTTTCCCTGTCTCCCCTTGGAATCCCTCAGTTAATACATCACAAAAATGTAGTGCATTTCTCCACTTCCGGGAGACCTGTCCCTGAATTCCTTATCGAACTTTAAAGAGCATAGTAAAACAACACGTTACAAAACGGTCTGGGCTGTGCACAAAACTAGACCGAGGAGGAAAAAAAATAGAACACAGAACAAAGCCAGCCTCAAAAGTGGGTTTTTGTGTGCACAAACCAAGAGAAAGCATGGTCTCCATTGTGGCGAGCTTTGTTTCCAATGGGCCAGTTCCCAGATGAGGGAGACCATGGGGAAGCCAAAGAAGGGAAAAACACAAAGCTCCTAGAAGGGCTGATCCCCCCTAGTTCTGACTGATGGGAACCTCAGTGGTAAACGCATACGAACGTGTGTGTGGCGCTGGGGGAACACATGAATACTCCTCCACACACACATTTGGTTTTTTTTCTTAAATAAATCGTTAGTTGTCTTCAGACAAAAGCTAACCGTGTGGTGCCGAAGTCGATATTGAAACGGTCTCTTCACAGAAACTTAGCATCTACCTAGAACACAGCTCTGGAGGAATGTCTAGAAGATGTCAAGAGCAGACAGATCTCCAATGATTCGAGACACGGCATTTCGGGTATTGATTGATTCGTAAGATTTTGCTTTGTGTTTTCAGGTGAACGCCACACGTTCCCCGCATGGCTCAGCCCAGAATGTCTTTCCAGCCCTTGGTTGCAGCAGGACACACACACTATGCGGGCCATCCCAAAGACACCCTCTCCCGCCACCTTGGCGGGGTCAGGGCCTGAATTCCTTCCCTCCTCATTTGAGACCCACAGCTAGCAGGGGCAAGCACTGGTGCTCGGGAGAGTTGGCTCATGTCTGTCTGTCATCCTCCTGGGAGAGGTGGGCCGGCCACGCCAGCCCCTCCTCACAGAAGGCTTGGGCCACGGCGTTCCCAGAGGCCAGCCAGCTTGGTGAGGCCTGGTAGAGCCTGGCTGAAGTTTGTCCATTCGATCTGGACCACGATGAGAGGCTGTGGCCCCAGTCACCCGCGCCAGCCCCAAGCCCCAGGCAAAGCTGCGGGGCTTGTCCGATCCTTGTTTGGTCTGCTCTCCTCCCCCCCATCTTCAGAGTCGGCTCTGCGTCGCCTGCTTGCCTTGCTTTCCCGGCTGCTCACGGTGACTGAGGAACCTCAGTGCTGAGCGGGGGAGTCCGGTCCTGTCCTGGCTCTGGGCGTGGCCTCCTCCCCTGCACACATGTCCTCTGCAGCGGGTGCTCCGCTGTGCCCTCCCCACCCGGCAGGGGACTGTCTCTTTCACCATGCATTTCTCTTCCTCTTCCAGCTCCTCTCCTGCTTTCTTGTTTTGTTTCTTCCCCACAGCACTGGCTAGCTTGCTAGCGTAAAGACAGCGCTGCTCCAAGCAGCGCCCGCCCCAACGTCTGGCTGGAATGAACGCAAGCCGCAGTGGTGGCCTGAGGACAGCGTGAGGAGGACGCACAAGTCGTCACCCGCGATGACAGGCACCACATTGCGGCCCTGACTGCAGTGTTTGCACACGAGCGTGGCTGACATTGACCCAGTCCACGGGTGAGCGTGGTCGCTGTCCAGCCCGGCATGCCGGGATCCCATACACAGCCAGCCCTTTTCCTTCATGATGATTTGTTTCTAATCCTATGGACAGCAGGTTCCTAGTGCACTCTGCGGGGGGGGGGGGGAGCGAGAAAGAACTTTTCTTTGGGAAGACCGTGGACATCTCTGCCACCACGAGAACGCAAATGGCTGGAGGAACATAGACGCACATCGGCTGAGAGGTTTGTGCCTCTAACCCTTCCTCTCAAGGAGGACTGTGTCTGGAGAAAAGTGAGGGCGGACGGAAGAGCAACGATTCTTGCTTAGTAATGACCTTTTGAGCCACATGACTTCTCTCCAAGGCTGGAACAAGAGCGGGAAACGGTGTGCGGAGTGCCTTGTTCCTTTCCTCTCTGGCTGGTCCCCCTCCCCTTTTCCCGGGCCATGCTTCGATCTTTCTGCTATTACCTTTAAAGACATGAGATTCCTACACTGGCGTCCCCTAGCCGGTCAGCAATGGCAGGTGCTTGTCTTGTTTTACATTAAAGGTGGAGGAAATTCCCACCACTCCCGCAGGGCAGGGCTCCAGCATCCCCGGCCCACGCCACGAACTCATGCACGGCCTTGACTTTGTCAGGGTCATCTCATTCCCCATTGTGAGAAGCTCAAGAAACTTCCAAGCTGAGAAACTTCCAGACTTCCAACTGAGAACCTGATTTTAGTTTTCAGCTTCCCGGGGGAATTTATGTAAACTGTTGCTATGAACATTTTCAAACGCGCAGGGAAGGGAAAGGAGGCCTCCTCGGCATCACCAGATGGAATCATCCTCAGGCTTTGCCACGAACGTTTCAGGACATAGCTTTTTAAAATATCTCAAAGCAAACCGTGCGTCTCTGACCACTCCACCCCCCTGGTGTCTCCAGCTCAGCTTCAAAGGAGAAGGCTCACCTCTGGCCACCGTAACACCATTGACTCAGATTCCCTAGTGTCTTCTAATCCCCCTGGGTGTCCGCCTGGCTCCAGCTGTACCACAAGTGCCATCCATAGCTAGTTCTTTTCCTACCAGGACTTTCCAAAGCCCTCACACAGCCCTGTGGTTTCCAAGCTTAAGACTTCACCAACAGAGCAAAGCTCCACATCCCTTTCTTTTTATGATATTGACTTTTTCAGGTAATCAATATGATTTCTAAAACAAAAAAAAATGTATTTCATGACCAATCCACGAATGTACCAGAAATGTTTGTGCACAGACAAACAGATTCAAACTCACTGACTGGGGCTAGACATAGGTTGCCTACCACCCCAGATGAATGGAGATCTAGAAGATCAAGGTCCACCTGAGCAAAAAGTTCAGGAGATCTTCATTTTAACCATTAGCCAGATGCGCTGATCCATGCCTATTACCCAGCTGTGTGGAGACCGAGTTCAGAAGGATTGGGTTGTCTAGTCAGCCCAGACTATAGATATTCTCAGGACCTCATCTCGACAGAAAAGGTTGGGAGTTGTGGTGTGTGCCTGTCACCCCACACGCATACTTCCTGACTGACTCAGGAGAAAAAGGAAATAGCCTATCCCAAAATTAACTAGAGGGGGAAAAAAAGGGCTATGGGTATAGCTCAAACAGTAAAGGACCTGCATAGCAATATAAAGCTCTGAATTCAGACCCCAGCATCACCAAAAGGAGAAAAAGAAATGAATGAGCCGAATGTACCCCAACTTTATGTAGGCTGAGGCATGCGGGACAATCACAAGTCTGAGGCCAAGCCAGAGCTTCACAAGTGAAACCCTGTCCCAACAACAACACAAAATTCATCTTTTTGGCCAGAAAAAAAATAAAATCTGACTGCAGAAGAGGCTAGCTGTCCTCAGGACCCAATAGCTAACTTTAATAAGTACAACGATATCAAAAAGTTGCCTGGTACCAACAGCACTTTAAAACAAAGGAACAGACTCTGTGACAGTACTCAGAGATACCAAGGTTTGATAGCTAGCATTCCCATTGCCTATTTCCATACATTATTAAAGCAACAGTGTATGCACATGGGTGCATTTATATAGATATGGATTACATAGCCGGGGACTGATTTAAAGAGCAGAATAGAAATTCTTGAAAAGTCCTAAAGTACGAGATTTGGAAAGGGCTTTGCTCCTGCTTCCAAATGACACAATTATGCAGTAATTACGCCATGGGACCGAAATGTGCACGCTCTCCTTGCTTCATTGTCTCCCATGCTTAAAACAAAATGTCACGATTCCAGCCCCCATCACAATGGGTAAGAATACTAAGTGGAAAGACTGTAGAATCGTCACATTTTAGAGTGTTAACCCTATTTTGCCTCAGAAAAAAGCAAGGCAGAGAGCTACAGATTGCTGGAGTGGCCCGGCTAGCAGGGACAGGACAGGAGAAGGTGATCTGAGCACTCGACTCTACTTTGAGGTGCCTTGTCCGAAGGCAAACCAGCAATGAGTAGAGAAAGCTGTGTCCACGCCCATCCGTGCAGCCCCTCCACGCGGCTGTCCATGCCGTACATTCTCTTGACAGACCAGGTTTGGGGTGAGGAGGCCGTGAGATCTTCTCTCAGTACTCTAGAATCACTAGAATCAGGTGCTGGTCTTGCTCTTTCTATTACTTACAGCCTCGGTAACTGCCTTTCGTCTATTAAACCGCTTCTGGAAAATGCCCATACCACATTCAAAGGAGACAGGATTGTTCCCATTTCACAGAGGGAGAGTAGAGGCACGTCCGATGCATCATGTCAGACAGTGAAGCCGGCTCTCTCCCCGACCCCACGGGGACATGCACAGGAAAGGAGCCCAGCCCACAGTTGAGACCTGTCAGCAGGACCTCGCTTCCTCTGCCCCGGTGCACAAACATTCGCTTAGCGCTAGCCCCGGGTCGGTTCCTTAAACTAACATCTTTTTTCCTTTTTCCTATATTCATCATAGAATAGACTTTCAAGCCAGGTGTGGTGGTTCACGCCTGTAATACTAGCTAAGAGGAGAAGAATCACAGTTCCAAGCCAGCCCTGGCAAAAAGTTCCCAGGACTCCATCTCAGCCCATAGAAAGGGAGGCATGGTGGCACGTGTCGGTCACCCCAGCTACTCGTGAGACATCAACAGGGGGGTCTCAGTCCAAGCAGGCCTGAGCGAAAGGTGAGACCCTATTCAAACAACAGAAGCCAAAAGACCTGGAGGCGTGGATGAAGTCCTAGAACACCTACCTAGGGAGTGAGTGTGAGCCCCTGCGTTCAATTCCAGTCATGTCAAAAAAGAAAGAAGAAAACCACTTTCACGGCCATCTTTGATTTGTGCTTCTAGCTGATGAGTCTCTTCTTCGGCTGCTCTCACTGGCTGCCCACCGCACGGTGGTCTGTTGTTTCCCAGAAACCATGAGGCCTGGCTGCCTTAGCAGCATCCATCTGGAACTTTCCACCAGGAGAGAAACTGACTCAGAGGTAGGAGGGCTATGTCAGTGATGCCCAGAAAGCCCAGTGCCTGGGCCAGGCCAGCCAAAACCTTGATGTACACATCTAAAACCACCCAGGCAAGCTCAGCTCCTCAGCTGGAAGTGTGTTCTCCAAGTGTCTCCAGAGAGTAACACCAAGGAAAAACGACAGGAAGGCATTTTTTTTTCTTAACATTTATTTAACAAACGGCAGCATGTTACCTGCAGAAGGGAGGCATGACTAGAAGGAGGAGCCGGAAGTGCCAGCTCTGTTTCGGAGGCTGGGTACTAACCCAGAAAGTTCCTGGCGATTCCCAGGGCGCCCAGGACCGAGAGCAAGGCCAGACTCCCCATGCTCAGCTGGAACCCAGTGACCCTGCAGGGTGGACACAAAGGAGAGCCGTCACTGGCTGGACCGGCAGGAGGAGGCTGCACACCCTGGCCCAGGAGGCCCAATGCTTTTGGTCTTGTTTATTTACTTCCTTGTTATTATAGAGGTGATGTGTAAAGGGGTCACATTTACATGAGACAGGTCACGAGTCCATTTCCTTTGCACTGCGTCTTCTGTTCCCACCCTCTGCCTGTCCCTCCTCCCGTCTCCACCCTCGAGTTGTCTCATTCCCGATCATCAGTGTCCTGGGAGTTGCACCACTGCACTTTTTCACCCTTTTCCTTCGAGTTCTGAGCCCTCCACTCTCCCAAAGATATACACACGACTACACCTCGTATACGGTAAAGAAGACAGAATCATCAAAATCTAAAAACTAACCAAGAAACAAACGTCTTTTATTTCCATAGCTGAGGAGTTCATTTCGGTATGTGTATTATTTTATATAAATATGAAATGGCACTTAGGCATTGCACCTTTGTGATTCTCTCCTGAGAGTATCCTCTTCCGGTCTCACTGCACGAGAGTGTCTAGTAATCTGTCATGTCCCAGTGCACTCAGATGCTCGGAACTTCCACGCTTTTGTCCTTTAACGTTTTTGGCTTATCATATAAATAAAAGTGATGCCAAGCCCTTGCAGTCAAGGGTATCTCTAAGCCCTCAAGATTTCAAGGCTAGGCAGAATTATTTTCCTGAGAAAATTATTGTTTGGAAAGATGGAAGAGTACACCCGCATCACAGGGTTGTGAGCCTGCCTCCTTCCCGTGCCCAGCTGTGCGGCCCGTCAGGACTGGGCCTCGGGTGGAGCTCATCAGTTTTGCTACTGTGCCTCTGTGCTTCTAACACAGGGAACGAATCCTAACTCCACCCTGTCACATCTTGCAAATGCCCACCTTTGATGAGCCCTTCTTACCTTTTCTCAGCCGCGGCCGCGTAGCCCCAGAAGTACTTGTGACGAGCATAAATGTAGGCGAGACCCAGACAGGCCGCATAGACTGTGGAAGGATAAAAGGAAAGAATGGCACAGGATATCATAGCAGTCCAAGGCTCAGAGACTGAGAACGCACTTGCGAAATCTATATCTGACAAAATGCTTGATTCCAAAGTATCTAGAGAACTTTTAAATTGTAAGACACTTGAGTAGACAATTCCCAAGGGCAGATCAACAAATGGGCTCAATCATCATGTGAAAAAAAACTATTCCAACATGATTCAGTGTCAGCCAAGCGTCAGGGAAACAGCACCTCGAGGCCCCAGCAGAGCAGCTAAAAATTTTAAAGCCCAACAATACAAAACAGCGAGGTAGGGGCTGGGAAGGTGGCTCAGTGGTAGAACGCTTGCCTCGCATGCATGAGGCCCTGGGTTCAATTCCTCAGCACCCCATAAGCAAAAAGAAAAAAGCCGGAAGTGGCTCTGTGGCTTGAGTGGTAGAGTGCTAGCCTTGAGGTGAAGAGCTGAGGGACAGTGCCCAGGCCCAGAGTTCAGGCCCCACGACCGGACCCAAAAAAAAAAACAGCAAGGTAGGGGGCCACTGGAAAACTCCAGCGCACAGATAGGAAAGCACAAATAGCACAACACTTCAATAAAAGTTCTAATGGTTTCTTATAAAAGTAAATATACCATTTGACCCGGCATTTAGCCAAGGGAAATGCAAGCATACACCCATGAAAGAAAAAAAAAAGACCTGGTCCTGAATTGGATAAACTTTGTTTCAGAACTGCTCAGAATTATTTACACATCATAACCAAAAATTGGCAACAGCCAAGAAATTGGTCACGAAGGGAATCGGTGAGCGATGCTTTGGTAGTGCCCTTCTTTGGAACACTGTGCAGCAATAAGAAGAAATGTATTCACAAAGCGCGGCAGACCTCAGGAGCACACTGCAGAGGGCAGGAGCGGACGCAGGCTATGTGCACACAAGTCCCATGAATAAATCCAAATGCAGAAAAACTAGAAAGGTAGAAGAGACTCAAAGCAGGGATGAGAGAGAGGGCAGGTAGACACTTCCTAAGAAGTAGCTACACGCTGTATGTTGAAAAGGATTTGAGTCACACAAGCGTCCATATTTGTCAAAACTGAACGTTTCATATCTGTGCATTTTACTATGTGCAGGTTTTATCTGATAAGGAGGGAATGTACACAACAATAGAATGTTCTAGCATCCTGACCAAGGAAAATAGCTAGTCTTCCCTCTGTAAATGCTCCTCTTTCTCTCAACACCTTACAGATACAAACCTCTGGAGCCCTCTTGTGACCATCTCGAATCTTACCTGGGCGGCTGAGATATTCACAACAAAATTAAAAGTTCGTTCCATTGCCTGGTCACCATGATTCTTTTTAAGTCCACTTTCTATCCTGTCATTCTAAGGAAATTGGGCTATCAGCCCCCAGCCTTTAGAGTTGTATGAGCAAAGGCAGACAACAAAACTTTTTAAAATGAGAATAATGTTCCAGAATCACAAGAAGGAACTGAATTGGGAAAGATGGGGGAGGGGGCACTGGACAAGGTCACCTCTAGAAAGGCCCAGGGCCCCTCAGGTCACAGTGTTTGCCTAGGACAGGGGGCAGATGAATGAGAACAAGAGGACCCGGCCAAGAAGGAGAGCTGCCGGTGTCTGAGGGAGCGGAAGTGCCCGGGGCCCGGGGAGTTTTGAGTGACTGTCTCTCTCCACCGGAATGCTCCTGTGCTGCCAATGTGGACAGCCAGGGGGCCAGGGGAGACTAGCCAGCAGCCGACTTTGGAAGAGAAAGAATGAGAAATTACCACAAGAGCTCCTTTCCTGCCAGGCGGGCGGCCACGGCCGCCATTCTGAGGAAATCCAAGGGTCAAATGGAATCCCATTATCAAAAGGCACTCGGCTTATTAGTTTTAATATGGTTTCGTATGAAAAGAAACAGCCCCTTTCATTCGTGCTATTAAGGGACAAAAGTATGAGTTGGAGAAAGTTTAAACGTCTTTCGCTAAAGGTCATTTCATCTGAAATTCCTTGGTTGACAGTAAAAAATTATAAGAAATTGATGGGATTTGCCTTCAAAGCAGCCAGATTTGGGATTGTTTAAATCTTAAGACTAAATTGCGTGAGGTCATAAAAAGTGGTTATGAAACTACTAGACACCGAAAAGAGATTCTATTTCTCCAGCGAGGGAAAGCCATGTAGGCTGAACTCTCTGTTCAATGGCTGGGCAGAGTCTGAATGAGACTCGTGGCTCACTCAGACTAGGCCAAAAGCTAAGCCTGTTTCCAGGATGGCTGCACAAAACAGCACTCATAGGTAAGGGGACCCCAAGCTGCAGATCCTGAGCTGAGCCTGAAAGGAAACTTTTTCCCACATTGGTAAATGTCAAGCCAGGCAAACTACTTTCCCTGCCTGTGCCTCAGTTTCCTCTTCTGTACAATAGGAAAATACTATTCATTCTACTTCATATTGTGAAGGCTTTAAATATTATATGCATCTTACACATAAGGCTTCAAACTTAAAAACAAGCCGGGTACGGGTGGCTCACACCTGTAATCCTAGCTATTCAAGAGGCTGAGACCTGAGGATCATAGTTTGAAGCTAGCCTGGGCAGGAAAGTCTATGAGACTCATCTCCAGTTAAGCACCCAAAAACAATCCAGAGGGGAGCTATGGCTCAAGTGGTAGATTGCTAGCCTTGAGCAGAAAAGCTCAGGTCAGCACCCAGACCCTGAGTCAAGCCTCAGGACCTGTACATAAACACCCCCACCCAAGACCCCAACTCAAAAAACCCTTAAAAGCAATCCTGGACACACATCAGAAGTGCTCAGTGAACATGAGCTAAACCTACGAAGGCATGTTCTGTTCCTCCAGTTAGATTATTTGATGTGAAAAACAGAACTTTTGTCTTTTTCATCCTTGGGCATCTGGCATATAAACTGCTCCAAGTGCTTTGTTTTTGTGGCTCAAATCCAGAGCTTTCCACGTGCAAGACATGTACCCACGCACATGCGGCCTTTGTTGTCTGTGTCTCAGACAGGGTCTTACTGCAGAGCTAAGCTGGCACGGGCTCTTTATCTAGCCCCAGCTGGCCTCAAACGCGTGGCCGTCCACCTTGGCTTTCTGAATGCTGTGTCCGCAGATGGGTACCACACTCCCTGACTTGAAGTTTTTGTTTTGTCATCATCAAATTAAATCTAATGAAGCTGGAATTAGTGTGTCTCAACACAGACGTACAATGCATTGCAATTTCCTGGAGCAGTAGCCGTGCAGCGGCCCTCTGTCCTCACTGGCTTTGTTAAGTGGCTGCCTGACTGGCAGGTCATGCTTACCTTGGTTGAAATACCATCCAGCCACCCACAGTGTTATGATGAATGCAGGATAGAGCTCTCCACAGTTCTGTCTGACAAAGAAAAATTAAGACACAGGTAAACATAGGAGAAACTGCCCTGCTACATTGATTTTTCATCAGTCCTTCCCAACAAGTTATACAAGGATGTAAACAATCCTTGAGTCTTTCACCGGGAGTAATGGCTTATACCTGCAACCCTAGCTACTCAGGAGGCTGAGATCTGAGGACCTAGGTTTAAAACCAGCCCAGGCAGACAAATACACAAGATTCTATGTCAAATTAACCAGTAAAAAAACAAAAATGGAGATGTAGCTCAAGTGATAGAATGTTAGCTATGAGCAAGAGGTAGAAACCCAAAGTTCAAGCCCTAGTGCCAGCAAAATGGGGGGAGGGGGGGAGAAGGGGGAGATGAAAGGAGGGAGGGAGGAGGGAAAGAGGGGGAAAGAAGGAAAGAGGAAGAGAAGAAAGGATCCTAACTTGAAAGATAGAACTCAAATGTGGCTTAAGTCTCAGAGAAGGAGCACAAATCATTCACCTTCATCTCAGTTACCACTATAATTCTTTCCTAAAAGACCTAAAAATCATTCTGTATTTTATCAAAAGATTACTCAACCCAAATTAGACAAATTTCTTCTCAAACATTCCGTCACACCCAGGAAGACATTTAATTCCCATTTGATAGAGAAAAAAACCCTGAGTCTCCATGCTGCCTGGTGTGCTACAGAGAGCCGAAGAGGAAGGTGCCCATCTGCCAGGCCGCCTCTATCCATAGAAAACTTGAGGGGAAACTTGATACTATTTTAAGCAAAAGGGAAGGGCTCTCTGGAAACTATAATTCATTCATCTGCACTGAGTAACAAAGGAGAAAAATAAAAGATGAATTGTATTCATCTTCCTTCCTGAGCTATGTCCCCAAGTGATCTTGCTTAAGCTGGTTGAGCTCTTTGCTGACAATGTTATAACCGGAAAGATCTTTAACAATGTAATAAGTAATGAGGACCTGTGCAGAAGCTAGTGGATGAGTCAAGTCTAAGGATTATAGATCTCACATCTTGCCTTCAACAAGCCTGGGTGAAGGTCAGCCCAAGGTCACTGTGTAATAAAGCAGTGGCTCAGAAATATTCCATCCCAATTGATGAAGACCAGGGACTTTTGATCTGGGTCACCATGAGTGGGGTTTTTTTGTTCCCCCCCCCATGGAAAAAAGTAAGCAGAAGTAGAAAGCATAATTCTTCCCTCCTCCATAATTTGGCAGGAAATTGTGGCTGGGTCATCTCAATTTTATTGGCCAATGTAACTACATAGGACTAACGGCCCCCATAGTCCTTGGACCATCTCCTAACACTGCGTTAGAAAAGCCTTCATTAACCAGACCCAGGGCTCGCGGGCTGCAGTGGCTGGTGCAGAGTTCTCGCGCACAGTGCAGCTTTCACCTCACCAGCAAACACAATGCCGTTCATGACCGTATAAGACCCTGGAAACCCTAACAGGTAACGTGGATGGGGAACAGCCTTCTTCACCTGGGCACCAGGAGTTCCAGGGGTTCCCAGCTCCACGCAGCCCCCGGGAGGGATGGGAGCCATCCAGCCCTGCCCGTCCACGCAGAGGGGACGTGTCTGTGTCTAACGGCTCCCTGGCCGCAGCCTCGCACTCCTTCCTCAAGCAGTCCTGCGCTCTTTTGACATGGACGAGCCCTGGAGAATGGCACAGAGCTGCTGCTTTGTTAGCCACACGTTGCCACCTTGGCCACCATTTCTACTGAGGGCCACGTCATAAAAAAGGCCTCTGTTAGAAGGACAAGCAGGGGGAGCAACTGTCCAGATCTGGCCTGGATGGTGGAAGATTCTAAAACGTGGGACTTTCAGGTCAGTGGTTCCGGTTTGTCTGGGACTAAGGATTTCTCTTTTCTGGACTGTAGGTGGAGAACTTTGATGCTACAAACAGAGGAGCCTGGGGAAAATGAATGAGTCACCGTAAGGGTCAGACAGGTAAGGATCACGAGGCTGAGGGGTTAAAGACACTGCGACCCCCGATTGTCCATCGTAGGCGGAGCCTAGGTTCTGGGGGTCAAGAAATACGGCCCTTGAAGATTCCCATGAGGGGCCCCAGGGCTGGGAGCACCAAGCCTGTACCTCAGTAAGTACCTCCAGGACCTTAACTCAGCCTACCAAGTTCCTATCATTTAGGGAGGGGAAAGAAGAATCAAGTAGTGGCCAGGCAGTTTCTAAACCTGAAATTTTTCTGAGTACTTCATTCTGACAAATGATGGGTAGATTGTATGGGCTCAGCTCGGCCAGGGCCTCTGCCCTGCTCCCTGCCTCCTGGAGGTGGGTAAAGCTACTCCCGGCTACTAGAAAGCAGGGAAGGCAAACAAGTCTTCTAGGCCAAAGGGTTCAGTCGCTGCCAGCTTCCTCTGTCACAACTGAGACTGAAGACTCTGAGGAAACAGAACCAGAAGATGGAGGAAACTGGGCCTCCACATCTGTGGACACCCACAGACAGACAGCAGACATGAGCAAGACGGGAGCTCCACGGCGTTGATCCTGTGAGAACCTGACACCTTCCCTTGGAAAAGAGTATCACACATATAGGACACACAAAACAAAAATGAAAGAGAAGCGAGGTGTTGGTGGCTCAGGCCTGTAAGTCTAACTACTCAGGAGTCTGAGAGCTGAGGATCGTGATTCAAAACCAGCCTGGGCAAGAAACTCCATAAGACTCTCATCTTCAATGAACTACCAAAAAGCCAGAAGTGGCACTGTGGCTCAAGTGGTAGAGCGCCAGCCTGGAGCGCAAGAGCTCGGGAACCGTACACAGGCCCTGAGTTCAAGCCACTGGACCAACACCAAAAAGAAATAGAAACTCCAGTTGAAAGAAAATGAAAGAAGGAAGGAAAGAAGGAAGGAAGGAAGGAGGGAGGGAAGGGAGGAAGGAAGGAGAAGAGAAGAGAGGAAAGGAACAGCATTTCCTCGCTCCCTAGTGTGCTACCTGGGCTTGGTGTGAGGGAAACGTTCAGCTCAGTTTCTGAGATTCCACACAACAATGCAACCTTGCTCGCAACAACCTCATCCAGAAAATCTGAATGAACATTCTCCACAGGGAAATGCTGACTGACTCTAGAACATTCCTAATGCCATGTTCATTGCTATCTTTCAAAATAATAACAGGTTTTTCTAGGTGATTTCTAGGTTTTCTAAGTAAGTTCCTCTCAGCTTTCTGTCCTCTCCCTTTTTCTCTCTTGTCTTGCTGACTTCATCCCAACACAGCTCTACAGGCGTGCTATCCACAGATGAGCCAGGGACTCTGTGGACTGTGAACCGCAGGAAGTCTCAGGTCCTGACACCCTGAAGATCAGAACAACAGGTCGGTTCATGCACTCAGAAATGACTGCGGAAGAGTCAGGGGTTATGGGAGTTAAGCTTTTTATAAATGATGGGCTATCTAAATTGCTCCTCCAGAACCCAGCCCATCGAATGGCCTTCAACCCCTGCACTTGGGAAGCTGAAGCTGGAGGAAAACTGAGCATTCAAGGCTATGCTAAGGTACTCAGCGAGAGCCCCGCCTCTAGAAATAAAAATGCATAGTGTGTGGGTCACAGGAGCAAGGTTGCTGCTGGCACCGGGGAGCCTGGCTCTGACCTGCACCCTGGAATCGTGCTGCGGCTAGAGGGGCTCCAGCGTGGGGTCCCTCCAAATCCAGCCACCTCTCATCCCCTGAGGATTGGAGGAGCACCCAGCTGGGTGACAGATGCCACGGGGTGTTTATGAAAGACGCTGAACTCATTCTGCCATCTTGGGAATCCCTGTACATAGTGCCATGGAAAAGAACACTTGGACTTTGCAGCGGATGGCCAAGACAGACAGACAGATACATAGACGTTTCTCCTCTCTCTCTCTCTCTCTCTCTCTCTCATTCTTCTCTAATAGGCCACAACTCCTATGTACCCAAAATTTCAGAACATTTAAAAAATCATTCTCTTTCTGGATTTCCCTTTTCTCTGTAGTCTTCAGATGTGTATGAGAGCCACTGGTTCTAATTTCTAAAAGTTCAGGATTCAAATGTGAGACGAATATGAGAAGTGAATGAAGCAGAGGACCTGCGTGGTGACGAGAGCCTGAGGTCTCAACTAGCCAAGAAGAAGAGGCGCGAGGGGGCCCAGTCCTCGGCCAGCAGGGGAAACGCAGGAGACTTCGTCTGTGAGGCAGAAATGGTACTTGCCCAGCAAGTACGAGGCCCTGCCCTAATGAAATGGAAAAAGAGACGAATTGCTGTACAGGAAGATGCAGCCAGGATTCCCGGAGGACCTGCACTCCTGGTGGAGGCGTTAGTTGTGCCTGAAGGCCGGTGTGGGACAGGAATGGAACATTCATACTGAGCAGTTGGGGGGGGAGGGGGATCAGAACTAGGTGACCGGCGTGTTTGTGCCTTGCCGCATGGGCACCTCGTATTCACGCCTGGGCTCCGTGTTCATAAACAGTATGCATTTCTTTTAGCCTAATAGGCGTGGGAAATCTTTTCTTCTGACAGGAGCCATTTGGTATGTGATGTTTATGTCGCTCCTGGGTTTACTGAATTTCGAGTCTCACCTGTGGTTGCCCTGGTGACCAGACCAAAGGATTCTGACAGCCTTCTGCGGCCCTCGGGCTACACCCGCAGCCCTGAAGGGGCACAGCCAAAACATCTAAAATTGGCTGAGGAACAAAAGCTGAAGAATTAGTGCTACCAAGCCTCAAAATGGAGACGGTGAAAGCTCTTCAGAGTGGCCCAGATGCATGACAAAGATGGCTCAGTAACTAATCTTCTCTTTGAGTGAAGGTGAAATCAGAAATCAAGTATTTAAATCACAACATCAATCTGTTACTTGGACCTCCTTTTGAGATTTTATAAAAAGCCTTTAATCTAAGAGAATCAAGGTGCTCGAGTATACTGGACAGAATATTCTCAGTTTAGCAATCACCTAAAGCAATGGTCCTTGGTAAATTATAGATTTTATTCTCAAAATTGTGAGAGAAAAAAAAAAAGGATCTGGCCCAGGGATTCAGAAGTGATCTCTTAGCCTCTCCCTCCCACAGGAGGGGAGGAGGAAACAGAGAAGGAGGCCTGGAGTCGTAGTAGCCATCTGTGCTGAGCAGAGGAGGACCTTGAACACAAAGCACACCCCGCCCTCTGGCCCAGGGCATCTCCTGGCGACTGTTGGGAGGTGTAAGTTCTGCACAGGGGGCAGAAGAACTCATCACTTAGGCTTTGAAGCCATGTTGAGTCAAAAGCTGCCGGAGAAGAGCATGGAGGAAGGCAGCTCGCATCTCTGTGGAAATTAAGATCGGTAGACCTCAGGACAGCCCGAAGGGACTCAGTACATTGCTCCCAGAAATCCAGAAGGGAATTGCATTCGTTCTCCAGGGGTGGGGAGAGTTCAAGGGCGCTAGCTATGAAAAAACAAATGAATTTCCCAACAGGCTTCTTAGAAAGACTAAGTTATTTCAGGAGTTCTGCCCCAACATAAAAGTCTACGTAGCCTCACTAGCAGTGAGAATACTCGTTTTTTGTCCAGATTTGGACTAAACCTTGGAGCTGAAAGCAAAAATTAGGCCAGTGTCATAAAATATCCAAGAAGTGTAGGGAAGGGAGTAGAGCCACCCACTCAATCTCCACAGAGAAACCAGGGCTCGGACTGCTGTGCCCAGCAGGACACGTGACAGCCCCGAACCCTGCAATATTGGGGTGAGAACATTATTTTTTAGCCATTGTCAGCTCCACTGTGATTAATCAACCAAAACACTTCTAATAAGGGAATTGGGCTTGTATATTTACTTTATAAATAGCAACCTAAGAGAAATATTTGGGACTAGTGTCCAGCTTTATTTCTAGGACAAGAGGAGTCCAGATATAGAAGAGAAGGGAGAAAGCAGTTGCTGGAGAGAAAATCAAATTTGTGCACACTGAGAACGAAAATAGCACCAAGAAATAACCCAGGGGTTTTGCCTGCGGGAAGCCGCGCACTCCCAAGCCAGGCCCTCAGACCATGAAAGTCAAAGCAGGGAGATCGGAAATCTCCTCCTGCAGTGATTTTTATAAATAGTTCGGTGTCTCCCAGCGTCAGGCATTAAGCTATCGCTGTCGAAATCTTAGCCTCTCCGCATTCTCCTCACTACTCTCTAAATCAATTAGCTTTTAACTCAAATTCAGAAAAAGATAAATAGATAGACAGACAGACAGACACACAGACACACAGACAGACAGACAGATAGATGATAGACAGACAGATAGATAGGTATCACCACCACAAATGAAAATCATTTCCCAAATAATGGATAAGTAGAAATCCATGCTATGAGAACACCCCCACCCCCACAGCTCCTTCCAGAAGAAGGTGCAGACGGTTTTCTTGCCAGGCACCATGGCGTACACCGAGCATCCAGCTCTGCAGAGGCAGATAGTGGGAGGGTCTTGGTTCCAGGCCACCAAGGCAATAACACTGGGAGTGGCGGTACACTCCTGTCATCCCAGCTCCGCAGGAAGAAGAGATTGGAGGAGTGGGGTCCAGACGGGCTTAGGCAAAAACCTCATTGTCAATTCAAGAAGACAGCTCTGTGTGCTGTAGCACGTACCAAGTAATTCCACAGGCATGGTGTGATGAAAAGTTCTGCTCATAGCATGGCCCTAGTGATCCAGCCATTCCTGGAGCTTGCTGACCAGTGATCCAGCCATTCCTGGAGCTTGCTGACCAGTGATCCAGCCATTCACTTAGCTCTCTGACTGGAGCTGGCACTCCGGCCTCCCGGGGCTCCCTGGTCCCCAGTCACCTAGCTTCCTGCTGGCCCACCAGGTGGATTCCCACTCACCATGCTGTGCTCTGACCTTTCAAGGCTCAGATCCCATACTTTCCCCCAGTGCTCTCCTCCTGTGCTCTTGTCCTCAGCAGGGCCCGTCTAGGCCCTTGTGGCTCAGTCCGCACCCTTCGGCTCCTGTCCCAGCAGCCCGCCTCAGCCCTCTCATGATATTCTCCTGTCTCTTTTCATAGCGTGCATCTCCTTCTGATATAGTATTGTCTGCTTAGTGTTTCCTTTCCGTCTTCTTCAGCTATGAGGTTAACTCCAAGAGGGTCTTATATCTGCTGTCTTCACTGAGACAGAACAAGCAACCGGATATAGAAGTGCTTATTGAATGGACTTTTTTAAATGAAAGAAAAGGCTAAAGAAAGAACTTGGAAAATCATAAGGACTCAAAAACGACTGAAGTGGGAATGCCTAATCATCCTCTGATTCAATATCATTTAAAACCGAGTGTGGACTCCCCTTAAATTTTCTTGTGGTCTAGTGCTATTCACTTTACCCTGCCACACATAAGGAAGAGGTTGAGAAACCCTCCTGGAAGCAAGTGAATAAGCAAGAGGCTACTATGATCAACTCGTGGGTCGTAACTTACCCGAGCTGAATTCAATGCACCCAAAATGCCCCCACGGTCCAATCACCATTAAAGAAAGCAAATGTCAGAGCTGGGAATTTTTTTCCCCCAAGAAAACCATCCAAGCCCAACAGTTTCAAGCCAAGTTTTATACTAATTTGGAGGAACACTCTCCTTTCACCTAATTAAAAGTATCTGAAAAAATAGAACAGGAGGCGTCCTCCCACTCATTTGAATTAACAAAATCTTGATATAAAAAATGAGGCCACACAGAAAGGGAAAGCATGAGCTGAACTCACGGACATAAAAGGGAAATAAAAAACATCAACAAAACACGCATAGTACACACATGGTGACATGTGTAGCTTTGGGCTGCTTTGTTTTGTTTTTTGTATGACAGGAAATGAGTAGGGAAGGAGCTGTCACTTCTTCCGGCAGGGAAATTCCTGGAGTCTGTGGTGGAATGTTCTGACAGAAGCAAGAGGTGCAAGAACACAGAATAAGAGCACAGCACATCCACACGACCCGCAAGGCTTTCTGGATCCTACACCAGGACACTTCTGACATTAGGAAATGATCGCTGGAGAAATGGGCAGAGGGTATACAGAACCGTCCTTGTTTTGAAGGAAAGAGAGAGAAAGAAAGGTCAAAATGGTAGACCAGTTCATGTGACTTAAAGTATCCTGCACTCTCTTGGGCCTACAAGAGGCTTTGATCAAGCCGCCATGTTGAGTGTTTTGCTGAGCTGCCATGTTGAGTGCCATTATGGGTAGATTCACACACAGGACCCTTCAGCCTTCCTTGGTGGTGAGATAGGCTTGGCTGAACAGTATACCTCCTTGTGGCTGGTTTCTGTGAATGAACTTCAGGCCTTCTCCATCACTCTGCCCCCAATCTGAACGTGTCTGGCTGTGGCAGGCACCTATAAGAGACGTTACTTACTGTGCACGAAATATTCTCTCGAACTCCAGTGAGCCAGTGACTGCTGGGGGTGCGATCTTACATTTCAGCCTTGTCTTCCCAACCTGCAATGCAAAATAGCCTGTAGGAAAAGGGATTGTGTTAAAACCATTGGTTGCCAATGAACTATAATGTTAAACCATCATGAAATTCTTCTTTGTACCCTCTGGAGCCCTCAAATACTGCTAGTGGAAATGCAAAGTGGTACTAACACTGCAAAACAACCTGGCCAGGAGTGGTGCCATATGCCTATAATCTAAGTCACACAGGAGGCAAAGGTCAGGAGGGTGGCAGCTGAGACAAGTCCTGGGGCAGAGTCCATGAGACCCTATTTCAACCAATAAGCCAAGCGTGGGGGTCTGTACGTGGAGTCCCAGCTATAAATAAGATACACAGTAAGAAGATGGTGGTTTAAAGGTGGTCTTGGGAAGAAATGCAAGGTCCAATCCAAAAAAATAAGTAAAACAAAAGTTAGGGCTGTTTCTCAAGTACAAATACCTGAGTACAAACCTCAGTACCACCAACGTCACAAAAAGAAGGAAGGAAGGAAAGAAGGAAGGGAGGAAGGGAAGAAGGGAGGAAGGAAGGAAGGAAAACAAAGAATCTGGAAGGTATATTTTAGTGAGTTGTATATCAACCAAATGACCAAACCTTACACTCATAGGTATTTACCCAAGAAAAATTAAGATAAATAACTTTGCAAGGAGGAAAGACTGGTTTTCATTCACTGTTTCAGAGTTTCAGACCAGAGTTGTCTGGATCCATTGCTCTGAGCCTGATCTGGGCAAACAGGACAACATCAGAAGCGTGTGGTAGAGGTTGCTCACCGCATGGTAGCCAGGAAGCAGAGTGACAACAAGGCTTTGAAATTCCACGCTAAATCCTCAGCTCAGCCTGACCTTCCCTTGGGCGTGAGGGATGATGTGATCCCCTCTGAAGCAAGGCACTATCAGCCCTCCCACAAGCCTCTGACCTCATAAGGTTGGGTAAGGTTCTCCAGCGAGGCTGTCCCCGGACCCCTGGTCCCTTTCTGCTACAAATCAGCTGTCCTGCAGGGTGTCAATGCCGAAGCTGACCACTGAACGTGTGTGAGCACTGGGGATTGGAGTACTTCTCTTTCAAACTGGGAAGTCCCAGAGTGGGCTCTGTCCGTTCCCAACCCCGAGCCGCGTCCACATCTCCACATTGGGACAGCGGCAGTCTGCAGGCTAAGGACTGGAGCGCAGAGCAGTCCTGTCCCCTGGGAGACGGTGACCTGCCGTGCTGGGCGCTGCGTCACCATTGTTCCCAACTTGCTTTAAACCTTGGGAGAGCGTGTGACCACCTTCTAGGCCCCACTACAGGGCAAAAAGAAGCACAGAAGATGTGCGCTCCTTCCTGACGGAGCTATTAGCCATGGAGCCAAAGCCAAGGGCTTCAAAGCAACCCTGGACGGAACAGTCACCATCTGCCTCCAGGCCGTTAACTGCGCCCCCTGCCGCCTGGGTGGGTGGCAGCGCACCCCGCAACTGTGAGGGGCGGAGGGGGGGAGGGAGGGCACTACCCACTCAGGACCCTGTTCATCCTTCTCCACGGGAACGTGGAAGGACAACTGTACCTCAGCCAGCAGCTGGGTACACACACAACAGAGACCCCTGTCTGTCCTCTGTCTTCCCCCCCGAGCTGGTTCTCACAGGGTACAGAGCGTCCCCGCTCCAGCAACACCGGCCTGTCACAAAAGAGGCAGATTCTAGTTCTGAGTGGCGGCTAAACAATTTCCCCCGTCCGCCGCCTGGCTGACTGTGCGCATCCACCGCAGCCGTGGTTCTGCCGTCTCCTCCCCCCTCCCCATCCAGCCCCTGCCCTTCCGCGCGGCACTGTCCCTGCCCCGGCCAGCGCCACACAGAGGCCATCTGTGAGGAAGACAGCGCCTCTGCAGCTGGAGATG